CCTGGCCAGGCATATTATTATTATATGTGCCTATCTTATTTGGGCACAACTGATAGCTTCTCTTTAAGTACAGATCATAGAATATCCCCAGTTGGAAGACAAGGATCACTGAGTCAAATCCCTGACTGTACAAAGGATCACCCAAAATTCAAATTATATTACTGAGAGTGTTGCTCAAATGCTTCTTGAACTACAGATGGTTTGATGCCATATCCACTTCCCCAGGGAGTTTGCTCTGTTTCCAGCCACTGACAAGAATTGTACCAATCTGCTGAATTCAGTCAATACAGTAACATTATTACTACTCCACAAAACAGCAAGATCAAATCTAAAATAGTAATCCTAACCCAAAATAGTAAAACTCAACCTATAAAATGTCCAGGGTCCATGGTACCTGCAGAAAATTCATTAAGAATGCTTCTGTACTGATCTTTTTCATCTCACTGAAATACTGAAAGGAATGAAGAAAGAATATTTTGAATAACACCTGGCAAACAATAGACAGTTGTGGAAAAATCTATGACATACTGCATAAGTTCAACACCTTGGCAGTTTCATATGAAATATATTTCCCCATCTCCTATATAATGACCTTAAATTACTTAAAATAGACCATTCTGGCTTTCCACATATGCTTCATAAGGACATGAAGAGCAATCAGCAAATGGTGCAGAGAAGGTTATTACCCTCTGAGTAACATAAGACAAATGGTGGCCTGAGATACTGAGTGTCGAAAACAGATCCATACTGCTGTATGTTTGGCAGCTGTTCATCTAGGTCATCATTCTTGTGTGGCTTCAGTAACAGAATTTAAAGCATTACCAAAAGTCCGTGAAAGTTAGGATGAATCAAATTTTTAGTTTGTTTCTTTTTCACAGCAGCTATCATGGCAAAAAAAGATATAAGGCACTTCTTCTATAAATACATATCATTTGTTGTTGCCTAGCTGTTTGGAAATAATTGACAGATTCATCATTTGTTTAGTATTTCCCTTTGAATACGAGCTAGGTTGACTGTCAGAATTCCTTAGACCACCAATGCCCTACTTTTATAAAAAGGGTACTAAATTTTCCAGGCACCTCACAGAAGCTTTGTAAATTCTCAGAGATTACCACAAATACTTCTGAGATTGCTTCAGCATCTCAAGAGTTTTGAAAGATGCTTCTATTAAAAAAGAAAAACTGAATTGGCTAGCATTCGCATATGAGTAAATAACAGCACCATTTGTATCCCTGATAGTTGGATTTTTCCTATTTAACTTCACTTGCAGATTTCATATCTACTATCTATCATTTCTATATCTTTCAACTAACAATGAACAGTTTGCATTGATATGCAGTAACAAGGATAAGTAATAAAAAGAAATACAAGATAGCCAATTATGTAGGACAACTTTTAAGCAAATTTACTATTAGTGAGGGATGCTAGATTAATAGCCCTAGGGAAAAAAAAATGTCTAACAAGACTGCACACAAAAATAAAGTGTATAGATAAGCAAACATTATTGAAGTTTCTAAATTCATCATGACTGATTTATTTTTTCTGATACTTCAGACATCTGATCTTAGAACAGGAACACATTTTTTCTAGTATATATCTAATCAATCTTCAGCATTTCAGTAAAATTCCCCTGAATTACAACTCATGACAAATTTTAATCCACAGACATTTATAAACGAAGAGATTTTGCAGGGCACCAGTTCATTTTACTCAGGTCACCAAATCAGAGGTATATAAAAACCAAGTTGTTGGCATTAACAGTTCAGATTTGTAGGTGTATCAATACACATAAAAGCTTGTGTTAATTAAATTTAACAGCAACTCAGTTAAAAGTAATAGCTGAAGTTTACATTAAATAAATTGTCCTAATGGGTATATATACTACCTGGCAACACTGCTTTCCACTCCTATAACCTTCTTTTCTCCATTTTCTGAAGTGTAATTTTTTGCAAAAAGCAAACTTTAAAAGCACTTTGCAAATAAGTTCAGTTTGGCTATTTTCTGTATGTTTTTGAAATTTCAGTTATTATTTCAACACCTTGTCTCGACTCTTCAAATAATATGACCAAAAACGCTTCCCATACAAATTAGGTCTTCCTCATTTTCAGAAAGTTGTATGCATTGTAATAGAATAAAATAAAAATCTTCAGTAAAACATCCATAATTCTTTGCATGTAAGATGTTAATGAGTCCAGATACAATTCTAAAAACACTTCATTTTTGACAAAGGAACGCTGTCTTTGGTTGAAATTTTTGCCCAGAAGTTGACCAAAGAAAAATTCTAATTAGCTCACTCTTGAATCTGCCCAAATTTTCCTTTACCCATCATATTCCACCATTTCCCCTCATTGAGTATCAGACAGAAAGCTAGGAAACATGCACAAGGAAGGGTGAAAGCAGAATACAGAGTGACCAGACAGAACTAAAATAACCGATATATTCTCCCCCTCTACTCTGTTCTCATGAGACTCTACCTGGAGTATGGTATTCAACTCTGAGGCCCTCAACATAAGAAGGGCATGGATTTCTCAGTGTAGGACCTGGGCCAGGGGAAAGCCATGAAGATGATCACATGGCTGGAGAACCTCTCTGGTGAAGACAGGCTGACAGAGCTGGGGTTGTTCAGCCTGCAGGAGAGAAGGTCTCAGGGAGACTTCATTGCAGAATTTCAGTACCTGAAGGGGGACTACAGGAGAGACGAAGATGAACATTTTAGCAAGAAGTATGGTGATAGGATCAGGGTAATAGCTTTAAACTAAAAATAGTAGACTAAGATTAGATACATGGAAGAAATTATTTGCTGTGATGGTGAACCACTGGAACAAATCGCAGAAAGCAGCTGTAGATGTTGCATACTCAGTTCCAGGCTGGATGGGGCTTTGGGCATTCTAGTCTAGTAAAAGATGTCCTGCCCCATGGCAATATCGTTAGGCTAGACTACCTTTAAAGGTCACTTGCAACCTAAACCATCCTGTGATTCTATAAAATTAAAACTCAAGTCAGTCATGACATCATTATCTTTGTTGTTACAGTCCACATACTACTGTGTATATCACAGAATTGTAGGGGTTAGGAGGCACCTCTTCTGGAGATCATCCAGCCCAGCCCACTCTATTAAAGCAGGTTCCTTACAATAGGTTACAGAGGAAAGCATCCAGTGGGCTTCAGACTATCTCCAGAGGAGACTCAATAGTCAATCTGGGCAGCCCATTCCAGTTCTCTGTAACCCTCAAGATAAAGAACCTCTTTCTCATATTTGTATGGAACCTCCTATGTTCCAGTTTTTATATTCTCTTCAGTGCCAAGTTCCAGAACTATCTACATCAAGTATTAACAAATTTTAGATTGTACTTTGTTTTACAGTTTTTCAGTGACTTTTGATAAATATACACACTATGACAAACACACAAAGAATAAGATGCTCTCCAAATATCTCTGCAAATGTTACCATTTCAGTAGCAATTGGCATCAGATTTCAAGCTAATGCTCTAATTGTTTTATTTTTTAATGAAAACATCAAACTCAATCCTACTGATGTCATTCATGACTGTGAATATTCTTAGAATTCACTGATTCATCATAGCTCTATCTTCTCTGAAAGGAAATTAACACAAGTTTCTGATTAGCAGTGGGGCTGTCTACCCCTTTTTAACTGACAGTCATATTCCACGTTAATAGTAAACTTTTATTTGCTAGTATAGACATTTTCTTTTCCCCTTGACCTTCCCCTGACTCTAGCACTACAATCACAAAAGTAGTTCCAAAGATCCTAAAACTCATGATTGTCTGATAAGGAAGCTATAACAAGATTTTCTAGTTACCTATGCAAGATGAAAATTGGATTCTATCTAGTAAGAGTGCCTTGCCTTCTAAAATGAGAATACATTACAGAGACAGAAATTGATCCAATAAATATTTTAATAGCTATGCACTGAGAGAACACAGGACTAAACATTATTAATGGACCATATTCTTGTAATGAGCAGTTCTAAGCCACTCTTTTCATTTTGTTTTCCCCAGCTTAGGTAATACCTGCAGTAAAAGTATCAGTTCTGCTTTTGTTTCCTCTCAGCATTCACAAAAGAAAATTAAAATGTTGATAGTGCAGAAAAAGTTTTTACATTTATTGTTACTTAACTTCACTAGCACTACCACTGAATTTCTTACAGGTGCATTTCACAGTTGCAAGAAACGATGTTTGAAAAAGTGACACCTTATTTTCCTCTAGTTTGAATCCTCATCTCTTCTTTAACATATATAAAAAGTTTTATCATGTCATTAAAAGATTTAATGCACTTGAAATACGTGTTTTTAACTGAATGAAGAAAAGCTGTGCTGGCATAAAAACTGATTATCACATTTCTTCAAGCTGTTTTAAGGAAAACAAATATCATATGACTTACCAGGGTAGCTAATAGATTGGTAAAACAGAATTTTAAACGGGTTGTCATTTAAGTGGATACATGTTTAGGGGTTTTACTAACTACCGTTTTTCTATTTATTCCCAGCTGTATAAACTACTACATATTGTATTTTTTAGGGTCTAACAATAGGCATTTTGGGTGCTTCAGAAGTGAAACTTCTTTCTGTCTGTACATCACAGTAAACCTTAAATGCTGTAAAAGAATAATTTCATTCTTGATTGTAATTTATTATTATCTTTCCCTTTTCTCTAACTGCCCATACAGACATATTTGAATAAATAATAAAATATTTAGAGGAAATCTCATTTTCTTTCTATTACGCACACTTAACTTGCCAGTTGTTTCCATGAACAAGGTTTTATACACATGCATGTTCTGTTTGCAAGGCCCTTTTCTTGAGTGTGTAAACCTCCAAGTTCATCTCTCGAAACTCAGTAACTTTTTACACTGAAATCTAGTATTCTGTACATTATGTTTCCTCTACAAAAGTGTCTTAAGAAAAACAGCACAGAAACAGGGTTTATTCTATACTTAATCTGTAACGCGTTAGATAACCAAACAACACGTAAAACTTACAGCTGTCCATGCTTCTGTTCTGCATCGAGAACACAACCATTCATTATGGATTTCATGAGAAGGAACACCATAGCAACCTAGAATGAGAGAGCTGATTTGATTAATATATTCTGTATGTCTAATCATGATGTCATACAATTCAACCATGTACAAACACCAGTAAATCATATACTGTGATCAAGGAAAGTTTTCCACTGTTAGGATTATTGCTGTTCTATAGTTTGTGTGTATGTGTGTGTGTGTGAATGCAGCCTCCCCAGACTTCCAAACTTTTAAAAAAAGAAGAGCTACAGCAGGGTATTTTTTTATTTTCTGTAACTTCAGTAGCAAATCATCAGTTCTCCCTGCAATAACAAGGTACAATCTGAATCAATGTACTGACATTCTACACAATTACACTGCATCTCCATTTAAGGACTTCTTAGATGTAAGCATTCAAGTCCTACTATATGTAGAAGATACTACAGAAAAATCATCCATTAATCAGTCACTTGAAATTAAGGATGTAAGGTGGAGGAAATTGCTGTATTAAATAATTAATAGAGATATAGTTAATAGAGATATTCACAAATCCTCAATTTTAAAAGGATTTCACCTTTACAACCTGTTAAGGAAACGCTAACATCACAGATGGGTTTAAAATATAAGGAGTAAACTTAAAGGCTTAGTGTTGAACAAAATATCAGAAGTCTCTGCACCCCATAGTTAAATGAAAATTGCAAAGCTAACTCTTCTTTAGTTTCAGAGCAACCATAAACAAATAACAGAACACTTAACATAGGGTAAAAAAAATGCAGCCAGTGATTTCAAGCATTAATTATGGAAAATGTTTTTCAAGTGCTTACTTAGACATAGCAGAAACTTACTTAACTATTACTTATCAATAAAACAAAATTTGAAATGGCACTGCTACCAACTGAAATAGTAATGTATTTACTTGCATGTACTCGTACACAACACTTCGCACAGGAAATAAGAAGACTTGTTCCATCCTCATCAATTAAGGCATTTGATGGAGAGTTTTCAGTGTTTTCTTCGCTATAAATAAAACACATCTCTGGAATAAGAGGTCTAGACTTCTCATTTTCAATCACTAGTTTTTCTTCTAAGTTTGATTCCTTGTAAGTAGAATTTTCTTCATCAAGATTTTCTGGCTGGAAATAAAATAAAATCACATTTAAGTAAAAAGAGGAGAGTCCTTCTTTCTGCTCTTTTTAATTATCGTCAAATGCCTTCTCCACACCCTGCTCCTCCATTAATAATGTAACAGTTTATAAGAAAACTAACTACTGCGGGTTATCTATCACAATCATTCTGTAGTTCCTTGACTATTCAAATAATAAAAAAGCACTCAGTCTGAAAATTAGCATTATTGCAACAGCGTTCAATGATACAGTACAATTGACTCCCACTAAGCCCTTTAGCTGGATCCAGTGCAAAAGGTCTTTTTTCCAGGTCCCAAACAAAGGGGTTTCCTGTTCAGTAGCTGCCGAATTAGTACTGTATCAGCGTTTTTAGCTGATGTTTGACACAAATTCCATAAGCCAATATCAAATTGTGTCCTGGATAAGAAGGTTTCTATGGAAATACTGTTCTTGAGAAGGCCCAAGTACTGTGAGATGATGCTTTTTCAGCACTGTAGGAAGGAGCTGTGGAAGCAGTTTTGATGAAAGGCATTTGACAATGGACATATAAGGAAGTAACTAAAAGATATAAACCTGTGTGGATTAATCACCTTCAAAAATGCAACTTTCTGTATGTGTAAGCACACATGCACTAACACCAATCCTAAATAAATCGCAAGCAGAAGGCATACACTGTCTGTAACAAAAGATAAATGCAGGTGGATCAAGCATCATCTCTAGTTTTAACAATATTGAGTTTATTTACTCCCCATACAGCCAAAATCAGTAACTTTAACTTCTTTCTAATGTAATAGCAATTTTTGGGAAATGCTGAAGCTGGGCAGTTATTTCACACTCCTCTCAGAAATGAAACTCTAAGGATCTTGCTCACCTTGTAGTATGGCATGAGAAGAGTGCAAATTGCACAGTAGGGCTCCTTTTTTGCACAACATGCATTGTATTCTTTTTCAACATTGAAATTAGGTGTTCTTGTCTGCCAAAGGTGGACAAGAGGCCTAGCCCATGTCTCTGTCTCTTGAACTTCCTCTTCAGTAAATGCAGCTTCAGGCAGTTCTTAAAGAAAAAAATCAGAACAAGAGGTAGAGGGCAGAAACGGTAACAAATTAAGTTCTGTTTGAACATCAGGAAACACTTCTTTAATGTGCAGGTGATGGAGCACTGGCACATACTGTCCAGAAAGGCTGTGGAGTCACCCTCCTTTCAGGTCCAATAGACACCTGGGCATGGTTCTGGGCACCCTGCTCTGGATGTCCCTGTTTAAGCAGGGGCTGGACCAGACAGACCCCCTCAAGATCCCTGTCAATCTCAACTAGTCTGTGATTCTATGAAAGCAAGCAATCGGACATATTCTTTTCCTGAAAGGGAGAGAAACAATACTGAATTTGTCATGTTCACTAATAGCGAGACAAAACAATGCTAAAGGAAGTCTGAGAGTGAATACAAATGCAGAAGTCTAAAGAAATTATGCATCAGGACAAGCACACAAAAAAGCACTTTGACATCACAAGCTGACTACTTTACAGAAAGTATTTCAGTAGCTCTTCAACTAAAAATTGTATTCATATCCTTATTCGTAACATTAAAAACTGTCTCAACTCTTCCAAATGTTGTGGATGTTGTAGAACATGGGTGACAACCTTTTACTTTGCCTGGGCTGCACTGGGTGAAGAAGAATTGTCTTGGGATGCCATCTTTGTTGTTGCTGAGTGATGGGTGCACCCCCAGGGCTGGCCGGGCTGCTCTATAGGAAAGAGCTGCTGCCATGATGGCAGGGTGTGAGGCTAATCACTAGCTGTGCGGAGCCATGGGTTGGACATGCCTGTTGCAGAAGTTCATTCATTCACAGTGTGCCTGGGGAAGACCTTAATTTTAAAATTCTAAAGTTGACTTTAAGAAGTTCAAAGCCTCTAGAGAAGATGGAGAATAAAATCAGATTGAACCCTGAAGAGAAAGAAATTATCCAATAGGTGTAATCTGAAAATGTAGTCATTTGTTCTCGAGAAAGATGCAGAAAAAGGAATTCTGAGAAAAGTAGAATCATAGAATCATAGAATCATAGAATCATAGAATCACTAAGGTTGGAAAAGACCTAAAAGATCACCCAGTCCAACCGTTCACCTATTCCCAATAGCTCCTACTAAACCATGTCCCTCAACACAACATCCAGTCTTTCCTTGAACACCCCCAGGGTCGGTGATTCCACCACCTCCCTGGGCAGTCCATTCCAGTGCCTGACCACCCTTTCTGAAAAGTAATACTTCCTCATGTCCAGCCTGAATCTCCCCTGCCGTAGCTTGAAACCATTCCCCGTGGTCCTATCACTAATGACACGAGAGAAGAGGCCGACCCCCAGCTCACTACAACCTCCCTTCAGGAAGTTATAGAGAGCAATGAGGTCTCCCCTGAGCCTCCTCTTCTCCAGGCTGAACAATCCCAGCTCCTTCAGCCGCTCCTCATATGGCCTGTGTTCCAGACCCCTCACCAGCTTTGTTGCCCTCCTTTGAACACGTTCCAGGGCCTCAATATCTTTCTTGCAGTGAGGGGCCCAAAACTGGACACAGTACTCGAGGTGCGGCCTCACGAGTGCTGAATATAGGGGAACAATCACCTCTCTGCTCCTGCTTGCAACACTGTTTCTGATGCAAGCCAGGATGCCATTGGCCTTCTTGGCCACCTGGGCACACTGTCGGCTCATGTTCAGCCGAGCATCAATCAATACCCCCAGGTCCATTTCCTCTACGCAGTCCTCCAGCCACACCGCCCCAAGCCTGTAGCGTCGCCTGGGGTTGTTGTGGCCGAAGTGCAGGACCCGGCATTTGGCCTTGTTGAAACTCATCCCATTGGCTCCAGCCCAGCTCTCCAGCCTGTCCAGATCCCTCTGGACAGAGGTAGACGTCATTATCCTCATTTCAACTGGTATGGAGCTAATTTTCCTTTCTGGAAAGCTGGCATAGTGCTGTGCTTTAGTTTTAGGAGAATAATATTGATAGCACTGATTTTTTAGTTACTGCAGAGCAGTGCTTACATACAGTTGAAGACTTTTCAGCTTTTGTGCTGAGGAGGCTAGGGTGCACAATAAGTTGGGGGGACAGAATCAGCAAAGCTAACTCAAACTTGTCAAAGGGGTATATTTAAGGAAAAAAAGTTTATTTCAGAAGAAAATTCCAAAAACAAAAATATGCTGTGAAGTATATTAAGCTGAATTATCATGTTCTTTCAGCCTATTACTGCCTTCATCCACTTTACAAAAAATCAGTAGCTTTACAGGTCTCCTGGTATGTCAAATTGTCACGAGTTGCTACAAAAGCATTATGAAGTTGATAGCACTTTTATCAGTACTGAATAAAAAATGGATTTAAAATATTGTATACAAGCAGTCCTAACATTTCCAAATATATATACATAATGAAAGTGAATTTTATTCCCTTTTATATTCCCTCTTCTCTCATGAGAACTAACGTAAATTCAATAAAAAATCACCAGTAATGAAGGTAGAAGGACAAAGACAAAATGTCTGCCAAAAAAACTGTCATCAAGTCAATATTCAGCAGCAGTTCTTTACTGCAGATAATATAGCTGTAAAACAATAGCGACAAGAAAACAGCTGAAAATAAGGAGGAGATAACATAAAACGCAGGCATCACTCTTCTAGTCTTCTGCATAGCTTTTGTTGCTGTTGTTGTTAAGGGTCTTATTAACCTAAAGAAAAATTTAAAAATTATCAATTATATTATTTCTCTTACTTGCATTTTTCCAGAACTGGCTTCAATTTTGCTGACTCTTTTTCCCTAAATTCATTTTTGACAGTATTTCTCCTATGAAGCTAATACTACCATTATTTTAAATGTTTTCACTATGTTTGTGTACTCACAGTGAAAGGATTTCATCAATCTAGGTAAAGAAAGCAAAAAGAACACGAAATTTGTTGAGAAGATTTGTAGCTTATGGCTTCTCTATCTCTTATCTACTTTGAATCTGATATCCTTTGATCCCATAGCTGTGGGAATAATAAACTCCCATCAACCCCAAGCTTGTGCAGGATCTGCCACTCCATCTGGATGCATGTAAGTCTATGGGCCCAATGCAGTACATTCCAGGATACTCCAAATGCCTGCTGATGTCATGACAGATTTTTCAGTTATTTTTCAACGGTCTCAGGAATCTGGAGAGGCCCCACTCAACTGGATGCTGGCAAACACCGTCTCAGTTTTCAAAGAAGATCCTGTTAAACACAGGTCTGACAGTCTCACGTCAGTGTCAATCAAAATTTTGGAGGAGATTACTGAAAGATTAATACTTGAATACTTGAATACTGAAAGATTAATACTCAAAAATACTTGAAATACAGCACATTCACTGATCATAGCCAACAAGAGTTCATGAGGCATAAGAGCTGCTTAATGAATTTATTTTACTTTTATAATAAGTTTTACTATTGTCTCTGACACTATCCTGGGCATAATATCTAGGATATAGCCAGACAAAAACATGATGTGTTGGCTGAACAACTGGCTGACAGGTCAAGCTTAAAGGGTTTTAGTAAACGAAGTTACATCAGGCTGGCAACCAATCACTAGAGGAGTTCTCAGGGTTCATCTTAAGGGTCAGTTTTCTTTAAAGCTTTTATAAATTATCTGGACAAGAGACTCAAATGCATTCTAAGAAAGCTTGCAGATGATACTAAATCAAGAGAAGTTGCTGCCTCCCTCAAGGGTGGACAGGTATTGCAAAGAGATCTTGAAGAGGGCTGGGCAATTTAACAAGTGCCAGATTCTGAGCCTGGGAACAGAATTCTGGGACAGGGAAACCTTCAGCATATGAACAGACTAGAAGATGAGACTGGCGGATGAGAGGCTGGAGACCAGCCTTGCAGAAAGAAATCTGGGAGTTGCAATCATTGCCAAGACAAGTTTGAGTCAGCAATGTGCTGTGGCAGCATAAGGGCCAACTGTGCCATGGGATGCGTGAAACCCAGCACTGCCATCCGGCGAAGGGAGCAATTGCCCTTCTCTGCTCTGCACTGGTGCTGTCTCACATCAAGCACTGCATGCAGTTTTGGGCACCACAACATGGGAAGTACATACAACTATCAGATAGCTTCGACAGGAGAGACGCAAACATGGTGAAGGGTCTAGAGGGCAAGGCATGCAAGGATCGGCAGAGGTCCCTGAGTTTGTTCAGCTCAAAGCAGAGGAGCTGAGGGGAGGCCTCACGGCAGGCTGCAGCTCCTCACAGCGAGCAGAGGGGCAGCGCTGAGCTCTGCTCTCTGGGACAGCAAGTGGGAGCAGCATGGAGCTGCTCTCAGAAACACAGTTTGAACTTCAGGTGGTCCTGTATGGAGCTTGAAGTTGGTTTTGATGATCCTTGTGAATCCCTTCCAACTCAGGACATTCTACGATTCTGTGACTGAACTACTCTTTGCTGAATGAATCTCCCATGGGCACAGAAGCCTTCACCCTGAACCTCAGCCTACTATGCTTCTTTTTAATCAAAACATGTCTTCTATCAATTCCACAATAATATTTCTTCATCTCTTACACATATTTTTTGCTTATCATTCCCTTTGGTAAGCTGCTGTATTGGTTCACTTCTGATGGAATCTGTATTTTTACCTTAATTACATATGATCTCCACTATTTCTGTTTTGCCCTTGTACAATTTTCACAAATCATTTGCAGACGGGGAGGGACAAGAACGCAACAGACAGGAAGAAATCTGATGGCACTCATCAAACATTTTGTTGCTTTCCAGAACTTTGTATTTTCAAACTTTGTACTTCATTCCAAATGAAGTGAAGGAAAAAACACCATACGCATACTGGACTGCACCTTTCACCATTCACCACCTCCAAAAAAAAAAAAAAAAAAATTACGCTTTTACTAAATTTTGCTCTTTGCATCATGTTCAGACTGTTTCCAGAAACAGTTCTTCATTACTTCCAAACTGTAACAACCGTAATTATTTCTTCAATTCCTTTGAGAGAGGACTGTCTTCCCAGTGCGCCTTACTACAGTCTCTTAGTCTATGAGGGCTGCTCTAAAAATAATGCCTCC